AATATTTATTTATTCAACATTCTCCACTGATCTGCTACACTGGATCAGCACTGTTCTATATTTTGAGTTAGATACCAAGGTGAGTGAGCCAATCCACTTGAATGAGCTTGCATTTCAACCTGTAATATGAGTGTAAAAAGTAATAGCTACCCTGTGTGATCAATGCTATACTATAAGAAGCCAGTTTATAGAGATTATTTTCTAAAAATAGTCCCAGGTTCATATTTCTTGTAATTAAATAAAAAAGAAAAAGCATCAGCTACTGGTAGGAAAATGCATGTTCAGCTAGAAAGATGTAGTTAAGAAAAACTTTCACATGATCAACTGATGTTGAAAATGTGAGGGGAAGATCTACAGATCACGCCATGTACACGATCTCTATGAGGTGTGCTATGCGGTATCAGAAAGATTCAACTAAAGGGTACGTTCTTGCACATTCAGAATTGCAGTAATATGAAGAAATTTTTGAATGACAGACCAGGCAATCTGGTACTGTGATTTTTGTTATTAAAAATAATAAAGTAGCATTAATTATCAGAGCAGTTGACCTCTGAATGCTAAAATATGTGGAAACAGACATACCAAAGTTAGTCGGTGCCATTTGGATGATTGAATAGGGGCAAGCCAAGCGCACGAGGTGGAAGTACGGAGAGCCCATCTAAAATACGGCAGATTGAAAGGCATATCATGTTGTGCTGGTATTTGGGAAGCTGAATATGTGAACAATACATTCTTGAAACAGTCTTTGTGTGTGGGATTGTGGGATTAAAACAATTTTGTACCATATTCTCAGTAACCATTAATAAGAACTACAGAGTTCTTCCCCGACCTTATCCTTTACAATTATCCACTCAGGCGGGACTTGAGTCCGACCTTCATGCCTCCTTTCGGGGATTCCCGACTGCCTAAAGCGTTCTTGCAGTTCTATCGGATCTGTCAACAGCTTTAAATACCAGCATTTTGGGGGATTCTGTTATCCTGTGAAATTTAATCTCACCTATTTAAGCTTGCAGAAAGTACTGGAGGGAATTATTAACAGATTTTCCCTCATCTTCTTAGCGGGTAGTGCTGAGTGATTGGCTGCTTTCCCTAAGGACCCATGGCTGAGAGGCGTGAGTTTGTCAGTAGCATCCTATTTAGCATGTGTGTGAGGCCACAGGGGAGCCTAGGGAGACTGAAAGACATTTGGAATCAGAATTACATCAATATGCTGATGATGCCTTCGTTCCTTCATTTCATCAAACCTATATCCTGTGGCATGAATGCTTTCTTAACTAAGATGGAGAATGCCCCCAAACAGCCCACTGCTGATGGCTCTCATCAGACAGATGAAAACTACCTCGACACATTAGAGCAGGGGAACGGCAGCCTCAGCATCACCAGGGACCTTGTTAAAAATGCAAATTCTCAGGCCCACCCATACCCAGAATTAGAAACTCCAGGACAAGGGCCCAGCAAGTTGTTTCATAAGCCCTGCGGGTGATTTTGATGCAAACATTGCATTAGAGAAACAGATAGGGTTGTCACTGCAGAATCTGCTGGGTAGGGCCTCCTAGCTTTGTAGATTAAAACCTTTATGGACCCAATCACATAGTTCTTCATTACTGACCATGCAGTGCACCTGGTCTCACACAATTCCATGTTAAATGTAATCGGCCTTTGGAAAAATCCAGAGTTGTCTCTAAAGGATGAGAGAACTGTATATGTTCTGCATTTTCCTCTCTCAAAAAAGCATCTGAGAATTAGACTGCAGCCTTGGATATGAACACGCTCGCGTACCTCATGGTTAGGCCTTTTACCAACAGACAAATCATGTTATTCCCAAATTGCATCTAAGAGCCCAAGCCCATTAAACAACACACATATTTGAGGAAAACTAAATTCTCCTGTTCCTCAACCTTCGTTGACTTTAAAGAAACCAAGTGTGGTTGCAGTTTGTGTATATTAGGGGTTGAAAGCATAAAAGGAATAGGAAAAACACAAAAAAATTAGGTATGATATTAAATTCTTCATATTGGTTAAAAGTCTGTCCTAGAACATATTTTCTCAAAAACCCTATCCTGAGGTAGAAACACGCTGCTGGACCTCATCCTGTGTTTTCAATTTCATAAGTGTTACCACTGCCACTTTATGGGCCCCTTTTCCAACGTAAACATAAAGGTAATGAGGGATAAACATGGAACGAACGCTGTTAAGTCTCCAGTCCTAAGAAAACAGTAAGCACTGGCCAGTGACCTGACTCTGGAATCTATGCACATTCTGATAATTTATTATTTATTAGTCCTTCTCTCATGCTGAGGAATTTTGCCTAAAATTACCAAACGAACCCTCAAAGGCCCACTGCTGTAACACTGATCTAAGTTGGAGAATATTAGCCCTTTTAACGCTGGAAGGCTTGGATGCTGACCCCCTCCAGAAAACATTCATGCCATAACGATTCGTTGAACACTTCATCTGTGGCACCCACTGTGCTAGGCAGGGGAAGAAACAAAGTGACCAGGAGAGAAGACTATTGTCCCTGCCCTCATGGACCCCACAGTGAAGTCGTTTTAAGACCACATAAATGATTTGGTTTCTTGTAAGCTAATAATAAAGAAACATCCGCACATTTGTTCTTCTAGTTGTAATTAAGCCCCAGACCCACTAGAGTTTTACTAAGCTATTTGGCAACCACATGACCTGGGATCTCGATGACTCGTTGCTTCCTCTCATTGCTTCGGTGACCAGGGCTCAGCCCACTGAACTATGCCTGGGCTCGGCTCCTTTCCTTCCTATAACCCAATTGCATTAACGAATAGCCTACTCTTTCCACTAACCCCTGACTAGCCTCCTTGCTTCTGACACAATCTCCCTTAAAATTTAACTCAGATCTTGGTGCTTCTCTGCTCAAAATAGTACAATAGTTTCAGTTTTCACTCAGTAAAAACTACAAGCCTTATGAATGCCTACAGGACCTTACCCAGCCTGCCACATGCTGCTGTGTAGCCACAATGACTTTTTTTCTTGTTCCCAGAAGTCCCAGAGCCTTCTTGAATCAAGGGTGAATGCATCTCATCTGCCTTGATCTGAAACATTGTTTTCTCCCAGATGTCTACATTCCCTCAATGTCTTCATTTCTGTGCCCAAAAGTCATCTCATTAGATGGGCCACTCTGTTTAAAATGGCAAATCCTGACTCGTCTTCCACCATACCCTCCCTCATATATACCTTTATATACTTATGTATTAATTAACTTTTCTCCATAGTACTAACCACCTTTCAGTATACTATTTATGTGACAATTTGTTTGATTATTGTCTTCTCCCACTAGGCACAAGCTCCATGAGGTCAAGAATTTCTACCTGATTTGTTCACTCCAATGTTCAAATTGCCTGGAACAATGTCTGGTACACAACAGATGCTCAAAGAATATATATAAACTTTTATCTCTACCCTCTCAAACAATTGTCTGGTCTCATTTGTGTGTGTGTGTGTAACTGTGTATGTGTGATATGTGAGTGTATGGTGCATGTGTGTGTGAGTGGGTGGTGTGTGTGCGTGTGTGTGGTATGTGTGTGATGCATGTGTACAGTGTGTGTGGTGTGTATGTGTGGTGCATGTGTGTGACTGTGTGTGTGTGGTGAGTGTGTAGCCACCACTGGTTTCTGGCTGCCCATCCCAGTGGGAGACGACTCTAATGTGAAGTGTGAAGTGAGCCGACACTGCTGTTCAGGGCCACCTTCCCTCCCAACCCGCACGGTGAGGCTTATGCAACGAAAACTTCTCTGACACTAGAATCAGAACAAGATTTAAAATATTTAGTTCAAAATATTTCTCAAGTGCTTATTATTTGCTGAGGTCTTATGCATGGGATACAAAGATGAATAAAACTAGCTCCTATTTTCTTTCATCTTAAGCAAGTCACTTGACTCCAGTATGGCTGTTTTTCTGTTATTTGTACTATAATGAGATTGCACTGATTGATGTCTAAAACCCCAGAGAAAGCTCATATGATTATGAGACCATCTCCACCTGAATTTTGAAAAAAAAGTCTGAAAAGGTAGACTACATGGAGAAAAGCTCAGATAACAAAGTTGACATCTGAAGCTCAGCCATAAACCAGTGGGGCTTCTGATATTTTAGTGAGATTATTCTCTAATGTGGTTAATCTATATGTGACAAATTACCTGTTGACTACACTTAAAATTCTTTTCTAGTATAGACACTCCAAATATGTTCAGGCATTCTAAAGCAAATCAATTTCATAATACTGATTTGGATTAAATGAGTAATCTATCTTTCTATAAATACATTTGGTTCTTGTTCTCAGAACTAATATCCTTTGTAAGGCATTATCTTTCTCTAATAACATGGAAATTTGAGGAGTCCGTGGTACATGTACCCAGCTGATGCCTCGCCCAAGATTAGTCACCAGTCACCTGTAAGAATAAAACTATTTTATATCTGTCATTTTTAGTAAGTTAACTAATTATTAATTCTAAATTATGCATACATTACACCTCTTAAAAAATAAATAGCAATCTCTGTTCTAATGGCTTCACAGCAGAATGAATTGACATAAGTATGACCAATATATATATCTTTGAATGCATCTTACGAATTTGGCTTATGGAACATTTTGAATGTCTCTAATTACTACATTCTCCTAATATCCATACATTTTGTGAAGAGTACCTATTGTTTAAGACATAGAAGACAGCACATTCCACTGTTACTAGTTAAACACAGTGTATTTCAAAGATATCAACACTGAGAAAAAGGAGCACTCGACAAAGATAAATTTCTCTTTTTATCGAATTCAGTATTATAAAATAATTGTCTTTTACTGTGAATGTCTGAAGTGGAAAAAAAAATTATGGTTAGCACAGAAATTTTTAAACTTGCATTTCACAATTTCAAGAACATTCTAATAATTTAAACTAGAAGATTGCACATTAATAATCTCATCTTTTGAAATCTGTTGCGTTACAACCCCATATTCTCTGATGGTTCTATTTTACCTCCTCGGGGACAGCTCTTATATTAACAAAGCCTTTTCTGAAGACGATGAACACGCGGCGGGCTCCACAACGCAAAGCGGATGTTGCACAGTCGAAAGCAGTGTCTCCAGCTCCGAGAACAATCACGGCACCCCGTATCGATGGCAATGGAGAGTGACAGGCGCACATTCCTGAATGATGAAAGGAAAACCGCATTTTCAAGTAGAGAAACCATTTCTGCATGACAGCTCAAAAGATACTTGTACTCAAAGCAGTGTAAAATTGCATCTTGCAGTTTTCGAGGATGGAGTGTCACTATCAAATTATTCTGCTTCATTGAAAGACAGTTTTATTCCCATTTAAAAAATATGCTCATATATATAATCTCATAGTCAGTACCTTAACTTCTTTTTTTTCCTTTTAGAAGGATAATTGCAACACATTTTGAAGGATTTAGGTCGTAACAAATTGGAATCAATCAATTAAAACTCTCTTTGGTAAAATGGTGATGTGTATTTTTAACTTGGCATCATTAAATTTCTGTTTGTTAGAAGAAAAAAGTAGTCCTTATGATCTGGGTTAATCATTCACAACATTTCATGAAAATGCTACTTCAATATTACCTAATAAGATTCTAGTATAGAGCCCAGCTATATGTTACATTTAGTGAACTTTGAAAATCAACATGCTGAATAAGTGTTCTTTATGTAACTGGAGAATTTATGAGAACTATTTCTTTAAATAGTAAAATAAAACTGTCTCCCTTTTACCACTTTTCTTTCTTTTTTTTTTTTTTGTAAAACTGATAATGAAAAAATAACTTTCTAAGTATCCATTTCTTAAGAGCACCTATATGAAGATTTGATGTCCATATGAAAATTCGTGTAAAAAAAAGTAAAATGCAGGTGTTCTCTCAGTGTTAAGTGGCAGTGTATTATCAGATTAAATAAGACTGTTGATAAGATAAATTACTATAATTTTGAAATGGCACCATGGATAGCATAGACCTATAATTTCCATAAGTGTAATCATTTTGCTTGGAAGAGTCTGCATTCGGGATTACATAATTGGCCATCTGTAATTCTCAAATTTATGTTGTGTGTACTCTGACCTTCCTTAGAAAGGGTTGCAGGCAGAAACATCCCATTCTCCTGGAAGAAGGAAGGTGGAGGTGGGTGGTCCACATCTCCAGCTGTAAACTTCTACTGAACAATCTAATACAGAAAGTTACTATTTTTCGGGGGGTAGAGGCGGAGATGTAAGTTCTTATCTTTTCCATGTGTAATTAAATGTCAGAATAGAATTTTAGGAGACATACGTTTAAAGGACTTAGATGATCTGGTTTTGAAGAATATATGACAGCTTCTCTACACATGAAGACGATGACTCTAGTCCAGGCAAAACACAGTACAGGTTTGGCTTCAGGCTGCTGTTCCTGGGTCTATGAAGTGATATTACAGAGACTACGTACCTGGGCATCTACCAAATTATTTTATTTTAATTTTATAAATTTGCTGTTCCAGGAGAGACTAAATCTTTCTGTCTGCTTGGACACAAATTATGTAAGCTATGTCCACTTTTAAGATAAAAAAATTAAATAAAACAGTTCTCAGACTGAAGTTCTAGCCATTTCTCTTAAGAAAATCTTCTGATGTTTGTTTACAACTCTCTTACTTTGAAGCAATTTTCATGATACAGTTTAGACCTGTATATAATACAGTGAAAAATCCTTAGGATGATGTTTGATTGGAAGAATAAACAAATAGGCTGTTCTGGCAAACTGTTGCATAAGGCTTTTTCTTCTTCTTTATATTATTGTTGCAAAAGGATCAATTTCAAATCTGAACAGCATCTTGCTAAGCCTGGATTCAATATAAATGTGTAATATGTACAACAACATAGGAAACATTAAGAATAAAACAGCGTATTATACCTGCTTTACTGCCTTTGGCTACAAGTGGCAAAAAGTCTTTGGATGTATAAAATCCCTGGTCCTGTGTCAGGCCCTGGAAGATGTCGTCTTTATTGGGTTCTGGCAAACCTAAGTAATAAAAATTTATAAAATATTGTTAGCAGGGAGAGGAATGTTTCCAAATGGATATTTTTTTAAAAAAAAGTAGAAAGCTGCAATCATTAAACTAATGTGGTCCTTAGAGGAAAGAAAAAATCTATAAGAAAATCAACATGAAATAATGTACATAATCTAATGTACAGACCTCAGAGTATACTTTTAATATCTAACTAAGCACACATGATAAATCACACTTTCATGTACACATATATGTATATGGAAACATAGACACACAAATACATATAGAATTAAGGGAGAAAATCATGTTATATTCTTTCCTCATGTCATATATAAAAATAAGTTTCTGATGTATTAAGATGATAAATATAAAAAGTTCATTGTAAAAAGATATATATATATATATGTATATGTATGCATGTATTTATCTAGTTCCTGAATGTGGAAGATCCTAAAAAATATTCAATGGAAAAAATGTATATTAGCACAAAAATTCAGCTACTTCTACATTTCGAAAATATTATCAATAAATTAAAAGGCAAATGATTCACCAGAATATTTTAACAAACAAAATGTCTTTACGATATCAAAAATTTTCTCAATTTCAATAAGGAAGATTAGCTTTTCAATAGAAGCATAAACAAAGCATAACAAAAAATGAGATTAAAAAATATAAATAGCTTATAAGCACCAAAAATCTTAACTACATTAGTCATTTAAGAAGTGCAATCGGCTATGATTTATCCTCTACTAATAAATAAAGGATTTAAGAAAAACAGACTACGTGGCAAGGGTAGATATGGGGTTTGTTATACACCTTCAGGAGACACACATGCTAGTGCTCAGTTTCTAGAAAACAGTTTTGACTCTATCCTAAGGAAACATTATAAAGATTTAATGTGCAAAAATGGTTAATAATTTTTTTTAAATAGAGACAAAAAAGAAGAAAGAATACCAAAATGCCAAAGAATGAATACATTAGTCTTACTTTAAAAAAGAAAAAAGAACAGAACAAAATCAAAATATAGTGCTAAATGAACTGGCAGAATACAAAACTGTATGTAGTATGAGTCAAGTTTTGTAAAAAAGAATCTATAAATTATATAATCTGAAAGGTAATTGCTTCTGGTTGTGGGGTGATATGCTTTTTATTATTATTATTATTTCCTTTTTTCCAAATATTCTATAACATGTACGTATTAACTCCATAATTACTGAAATTTTGAAAAGAAAATGAATAGCAGACTACATTTTTTTTCAAAGTATAAATAAAGCAAATCCGATAGCAATCACCTCACCACAGGAAAGTGGAGAATTAATTCATCTCAATTCTATAAGGACTGGAGGATATTTGTAGTTTGATTTTTATTTACTGTCCAAAACTCATTCTACCAATGGGTCGTTCTAGAGAGGTGGGAGTTTATTTTATATTTAAATGAAGGGTTATGGGTAGTTGCCAATGGACACATAGAGTAATAAGCATGTGTCCCAAGGATGACTTATCCTGTGAGATAAGGTAGGTACCATATCTGATCTGAAACCTGAAGATGCTCGTGGATTGAGTGTGTAACCAGCCATAAACCATTGCCATCCCTTCAAATTAAATCAAATATTTTCTTCCTGGTCCAGCACCCTCTCAATCCCCTCCCCCAGAAGGTTTGATCTTAGCTTATAGATTGTTTAAAACCATTTATTTTTTAAATTATTTTAATTATCCAAGATTAGGCAAGTCATTTGACTTGTCTTTGCCTTGGCTTCTGTATAGATGAAATGGGGATGAGAATATTTCTTCATTTTCTGACATGGAAAGATTTTTTTAGGTGTATTTGTAACAAAGAAACTATTACATAAATGTGTACTCATTTATGTAATTTTTTTTAGAAAGCCTCCAGTAGAGGGTGGTTGGTTACTGGTACATAAAAAGGTACTTGAAGACTCTAATGACAAAACATTTTTTCTTGAAAGCTATTTAAAAAATAACTATAGTTTAAGTTGCACTTGATTAGTCAAACCAACATATACATATGCTACATAGTAAGATTTAAATAAGGAATTATCTCTCCTCTCATATTACTATACTATAGAGATAGTATATATATACTGTAGCCCTTCATTTTCCTGTTAAAAACCACAAACAACAAGAAAAACAACATGAAGTGCTATGCAATTTCAAGGTGATATGATAAACGAAAGCCGTTAAGGCAATCAAAAACAAGACACAGAGAAGGTAAGTGGTGGATAAGAGTTCCACAGTCACTGGCAATAAAGTCTGAAATTATTCCTTTACTAACTCCTACTCTAATCTTTTCCACTACTTGCCGTGGTTAAAGCAGAGAGGGAGCTATACATCTGCGATGATTTTTTGTAGACCCACTGTTAAAATAACTTCTCTGAAGAAATGCAAGGCATTTTTACTGAACACACCACCAGATCCACAGAGATGACTTTTCCTCTCTTGCAAGGATTATTTCACAAGAAAAAAAAGCTTTGGTAAAATTTAAACTTCATTTTTTCACTTGATCAAGACACTGACAAGGACAAGTGAGCTTCCTTTGCTTCACCCCATTCTGCATTTATCACTAAAATGAATTTAATGTTTACTAGGTCAGATTCTCCCTGTAAATGTTCAAGAGGGCACTGATTAGCTGTTCTGGCCTATGAGTGTTGGCTTAAGTAACTGGACAGAATCATTATGCCTGGGTTATCCTTGCAGGCTACTTAACCACATGCCGGGTCATGGACAGTTTTAAATTTCCAAAGTCAATGGAGCCCTTCTCCCCTCACCTAGTGACAGGTCATCCCACACCCTTGGGCGGTGCATCTGAAGCTGTCCTCACAGACTCTTTGGTAGTCTGGCCCAGGTGGCAGAAGTGCCCTATTTTCTGCTAACCATGATGGCTGAGGGGTGATTGCAAGCAAGGTCACTATCATCAGATAGACTTCAGTGTGAGTCTTCCTCTTCCATTTATCTGGTCTGTGATCTGTGTAAGTTCTGTGATGGTTAGTTTTATGCATACTCGGCTAGGCTATAGTGTCAAAAAATTATCTGATCAAACACTAATCTAGGTATTGCTGTGAGGGCATTTTATAGATGTAGTTAACAACTACAACCAGTTTATTTTAAGTAAAGGAGATTACCTTGACACCCGGGTAGGCCTCATCCAATTAGGCCAAAGGCCTTAGGAATGAAACTGAGGTTTCCCTGAGAAAGAAGAAATTCTCTTTGTCTGCTGGCCTGGCAGATTTCAAATTTGCCAGCTCTCACAACTGCCTAAGCCAATTCTATGATATATATATCAAGAGATTAAGAAACTATTTTAAGTTTCTCCAGAGTAACAAACCATTAAAAGATCTATCTATCATCTATCATCTAGCTATCTATCATCTATCTATCAATCTATCTACCTATCATCTATCTATCTATCTATCATCTATCTATCTATCTATCTATCTATCTATCTATCTATCTATCTATCTATCATCATCATCTATCTATCCACTTAATAAACATAAGCTATTCAAATAGGTTTATTTATTCTGTAGTTTATCAATTTTTTCAAATTTCACATCCTATGTCAAAGAAAGAATAAAGCTTAAATCAAAGTAAAGTATTAAATCTTAGCAAATTTAAACAAAGTGCTACAAAAAAGAAAACAATTGTATGTAAAATATGATATATAATGAAACTTGCAAATACCCATGTATCAAAGAAAGATTTCTCTGAGAGTAGGTGGCATATTAATAAATATGGTATGTGTCTGTACCAGGATGATTTCAAAATGACACTAAAATGACTTTTTAATTCACCTTTCAGTGAGAAGAGGGAGGTTTACGAATAAAGAGGAGTTGACAAGATTTGACAAACAAAGCAGCTCGTATATGTACAGTGTTTTTTATTTTTCAAAAAATCTGGATAGCTTTCTGTTCCCCTAGAATAGTTACTGACATTTTTGGTGTTTTAGTATATTTTTATACAAAGGAATATCTCCTTAAGAACTACTGAAAAATTATCATTTTCAAGTTATCCAAAAGGAAAAGAAATAAAGTTTGCTTAAGTTACAGAAAATCTAATTTAACGTTTATTGATTACTTTTAGGCACTGTTCTAAATGCCTGGCATATAGATGATTTTTATATATTAACTAATTTAATTCTCAAAACGATTCTATAAGACAACTCATATTATCACTGGCATTTTAGATATGAGTAAACTGAGGCACATAGAGAGTAAGAAACTGCTGAAGATCACAGAACAAGTGTGTGCAGTTTCAATTTCTAACCTGGATAGTACAGATATAGACTATACGCTTTAACTTCAAAATTGCTGCCTTTTTTATGTATTAGGTTATAATTAAGCCTTGTTATAATGTGATGCTACACAACAAGTGATATCCAAATTAATCATAGGTGTTTAGTTTTGCTGTGGCCAGAAAAATACTGGCTGCTTCTCTAGGCTGAATCTTTTTTGTGATTATTTTCTCTAGTAAAATTCATTTCTGAAATGTTTTCCTTCTTAAGTGCACTCCCCTTGGTTATCTGCTCATTATTTTTCAATATTTGATAGTCTTTGGAATATGTATCTCTGCTTAGTTTTCAAAGCAACTCCCTCTGGAATAACTATCGAATAAATAACAGCAGTGTATGTGGTAAATTCTTTGTGTTCATATTAAGTTGTGCACACTCCAATTAACAAAATATTAACTATTCTGTTTTACATTATTGTCTAGTAAGTAAGAGTAGAAATAAGCTTTTAAGGCTGAGTCTTCGTAGCTATGGTAGGACATGTTTAAGAATTTCTCAGACTTCATAATGTCTGCCTGTGTTACTTTACTGGGTCACTTATTCCATATTAATTGAGTTGAGCAAGGATTTGAGTGATACTGCTCGTTCTTGAAGGTGTCCACTTGAATCACAGCTAAACCATCATGGGAAAGACAGTGATCAGATAGACCTGTCACTGGAGACAGCCTCACAAATCCCAACGAAGTGGAGAGGACAGCGCACAACACTGAG